AGTGTTATAAATCACCTACATAACTCCTATATAAGTGTTAGAACTTATAATGAATTCATAGTGAACTTACTATAAACTTGTACTTTTAAAAAACCTTGTGTCTAAACACTAAACTGCATAATTCTAAATCAAATAAGGAGTGAATATACTTATATCATTTATTACTTAAGCAATATCTAGTAACTTATAACCAAGTGAAAGAAAGCATTCTTGATGTGCTTCAGAGTTTAACCCTTGCATATGTTAGAAAATGCCAAGCGGCATAGTGGGAAAATGGAAAAATGAACCATGACATTCCCAGGTTAGCTGTGAGTACTTTGCATAAACATGCCATTTTCTTCTTCCACAACTGCACAGAATTTCTCCAGCCATACCAACAGCAAAGACAGAAGACAGAAGGGCCTCAGCTGCCCAGGCTCGCTTTGTGGCCGGGGGTCCTCAGCGCACCTGGACTTTGTCAATCAGGCAGGCCTCCAAAGCTGGCTCCCAACACTCCTCCTCCTGTTTGTTTTTTCCCACTTTTGAGCACACTATATTTTACTTATGTGTCATGTCAACTGTCATTGAACAGACACGGAAACTAAGACCCAGAGAGGTTAAGTAGTTTGTCCAGGGCCATACAGCTAGTGTAGAGGAACCCAACTACCTGTGATGCTCTGGTGCCTTTCTTACCCATCACCTTGCACTTGAGGGCCTCAGTCCCAACCCTGCTCATGTATCCCACTGCCTAGGAGATCTTGGTTCCTTTCTTTTTTTTTTTTTTTTGAGTCGCCCAGACTGGAGTGCATTCTGTTGCCCAGACTGGAGTGCAGTGGCTGCTCCCGGCCACCGCAGGCTCTACCTGCTGGGCTCTGGCGATCCTTCCAGCTCAGCCTTCCGAGTAGCCGGAATTACAGGCATGTGCTACCACGCCCTACTGATTTTTTGATTTATTGTAGAGATGAGGTCTTGCTGCCCAGGTGGGTCTCGAACCCGCGGGCTCAGGCAATCCACTCACCTCAGCCTCCCAAAGGCACGGGATTACAGGCTGAGCCACTGAGCCCGGCTTGGTTCCTTTCTAATAACTGAGCTTCCATTTTGTGATGAGGTCATCTTACCTATTCCTGAACATCATGCACACTAAAGAGAGAAAAGACAGGACTCTGTCCTGAATAATTCGAGACTTCTGTGACAGTGAAGCTAGAAAAAATTATAACTAAAAATACTATAATATTTTCCAGTCTGTGAGTTAAAGAATTCTTGAGCTGCTGTGGAGGCTAATGAAATAAAAACTCTCAATTCTCTCCATGAAGCCAGGAGGTACCAGGTGCACAGACCTTTCTAAATACAGCATCTCAGAAGCATGTGCAGGAGTTAGATGATCATGGTTTTAGGATATTTGTTGGGGAAGCTGGTCTCCTTCCACGTGCCACAGATAATGCACCAGCCTTCTCTAGTTGGATATGACTATTGGGTTATAAGAATGGAAAATTTGCCAGTAAAAACCTTCCCAGACTTTGCTGAGAAACAGCGAAGACTGTCACAGCAGGGCCTGGACATGGGCAGTCATTTCCCATCACGTAAGAACAGATCAGCATCAGAGCAGGGCAGGAGAGGAAACCCAGGCCTCCCCACATGGGCTGTGGTCTAATCGCTGACATTTTCCCTCCCATGAGCATTCTTCTCTTAGCAAATACTAACTCTGTCCATTGAATGCAGCACGGCCTTTAGCATGGTCCTGTGGCTTTTAAAATCTCAGTTTTAGAAATGGCAGACCCCCTGCCCACCTACTAGGACTCGCTCTTTTTTACTTGGCACCTGTGGTCCAACCAAGGCACTGCCGTCTACCAGAGAGTCACCCTAGTCATCCCTAGAGTTATTTGCTACCATCCCCAAGACTCCGCCTCCTGTACCTGAAATTGGTCAAACACCACCAATTCCTGACTATTGGTATAAAATAACAATGGCAGATAGAATTTTAAATCTTGACTGTAGCCCACACTGGATATATGATCTTGGGCAGGTAGCCTGGCTTCTTTCTGAATGTCCTCATTTGTAAAACAGAGACATTCTCATCCATCTTGCCATGGTGATGCAAGGACTGGAATTTACATATGTGAAGTTCTTGGCACTTGTAGGTCAAATAAGTGGGGGCACCATAGAACTTTATTTTCTAAGTCACCGACCTCTTTATCTCTTGATCCCATTTTACAACCTGAGAATTTTACCAATTGAAAATCAAAATGGCTGAATAGACACTATTTTTAACATGGCTAACTGTGCCGGTTACAAGTTTAGTTGCTACAGGACTGGCATAACCTTGTTATGGAGAAATATTAAATTGCTCCCAAAGGCATGAGTTCCATTCATCCAGCTAACATGTTTAATCTACAATATTGTCTGGCCCTGCCCCAGCCACTCAGGACACTGAGGAAGTAAGATCTGGCTCCTGTCCTCATAGGCGACGGGCAAGACAAAAAGTAAGGGAATTATTGTAATGTCTGGGCAGGACAGGGGTAGAAATTTTATCCATTCTGACCCAGGAAACTCCCCTGGTCATTCTTGACACAAGATGTTCTGTCATGACTGGCAACTCTGAATTCACTTGAATTGCAACAAGGAATCAGGCTATTATATGCTTTTAAGCTGACAGAGGGTCAAGCGGGTCCAGCTGGGCTAAGAAACCTGTGAACTTGGCTTCTCCACCCCCAGAATTAAAGTGCATCCAGACAAAGCATTGCTTTCTAAATCTTGGTTTCCCAGCTGTTTAGGAAGAAAATGTAAATACATCTCCTTTCTGACTGCTATAAACAGAAAACATTTGATGATGCAGTATTTGGAGCTCCATGAGAACAAATGCCAACCCATGCAAAATTCGAGCTGTCCTGCCACATCACCAAGTTCAGTCTTAGCCATATGTGTCTTTGAGGCACAAGTACCAGAGACATAAGTTAAATGGAAGGACCTCTCACTTAGAACTGAGAATGCACTAGACTCAGTGTTCCGTGTCTCTTAGCCACAGTGCTGCTCCAGGCACCTCGTGTGACTCACAAGCACTGTCCTACAGTGGCTGTCCTCATCCCTGAGTGAGCCCCTCTTCCTGCTGCCCAGACTGCACCTTCGCCCTTGTGGGACTGCTTGGTGTTCAAGCTCATGCAACCTTGAAGTGCAGGGTCCTTAATGCCTCCTGGGAGGAAACGTGGGCCAATCGTGGAAGGGAGCTGGAGATAAGTCTTCTTTCTACTCCTTAGTGGGCCAGTGAAGATCCAGCAGCTTCATAACCACCCCCCTTCCCAATGTAGCAGCCAGCTTGTTGGGAAGGTGTGGCCAGCTCCTTCATGGGTTCCCTATGTTTATTCTCTCCCCTTTCTTGCTTCTTTCCCTTTATCCGTGTTCCTGCTTCCCTGGGATTGCACCTGCCAAGAAAGTGTTAATATATGAGCTTCTGGTCAGACGTGATATCTCACGCTTGTAATCCCAGAACTTTGGGAGGCTGAGGTGGGAGAATTACTTCAGCCCAAGAGTTCAAGACCAGATTAGGCCATATAGCGAGACCTCATCTCTACAAAACATAAAAAAATTCACCAGACTTCTTAGTGGTGTGTGCCTGTAGTCCCGGTTACTCGGAAGACTGAAATGGGAGGATTGCTTGAGCCTGAGAGTTTGAGGCTGTGGTGAGCCATGATTATGCCACTGTACTCCAGTCTGGGTGACAGAGTGAGACCTTGACTATACACACACACACACACACACACACACACACACACACACACACACACTCGAGTTTTTGCCTCAAGCTATGTATTTTTAGGAAACCTTGGTAAAGACAAAGAGCATTGGAACTGAAATTGACCTTAGAGGTATTCTAGTTAAAGATTTTCATTGAAGAGGAGAAAACTGAAGCCTGGTGGGGCAGATGTAAAGTGAATTACTCAGATCACTTTCTCCTGGGGGCTGGGGGGGATGGTGTGGTGTTCTTTAAGTAACATCACGTACACATACATCCATACATATGCATGTGTGTACCTATGTATACACACACGTATATATGCATATACACACGTATGTATGTATACATAGGGTATTTGTGTGTGTGTATGTGTGTGTGTGTGTGTGTGTGTGTGTGTGTGTGTGTGTGTGTATAAAATCTTATTTCTTTTTCTTCCTGCCTCAGAAATAGCAGACAAGATCTACAATCTCTTCAACGGCTATACCAGTGGGAAGGAACAACAGACTGCCTACAATACTCTTCTGGATCTGGGCTCCCCTACCTTGCATCGAGTCCTCTACCACTATAACCAACATTATGAGAGTTTTGGAGAATTCACCTGGCGGTGTGAGGATGAATTAGGCCCTAGGTAATTAGTAATAGTAAACAGCATTGTTCCTTTTAAAGATGCTTTGAGGGCAGGCATGGTGGCTCACACCTATAATTCTAGCACGTTGGGAGGCAGAGACACGAGGATCACTTGAGGCCAGGAGTTAGAGACTAGACTGGGTAACACAGAGAGATCTCATCTCTACAAAAAAATTAATTAGTCAGAGATAGTAGCAATAGCTTGTAGTCCCAGCTACTCAGGAGACTGAGGCAGGAGTTTGAGGTTAACAGTGAGCTTTGATCATGCCACTGAACTCCAGCCTGGATGATAGAGTAAGACCCGGTCTCTATTTGGAAAATGAAAAATGGAAAAATAAAGACTCTGAGATTTCATACTTCTTGCACCATAATACCACATCCATGGAGTTGCAGACTTCCAGGGTGAGCTTAGGCGCTCAGTTGTCAAGTCCCCTGCTTTAAGACTGCTCAGCTCCTGCAGATGAGTTTTAGATAAGCTCTGTTTAAATAGTCACGACATGAATGCATTTCCTTAATTCTGACAAAAATGTCGCACTTGACCTGTTTTACCTCCTCTTTGTTATGCTGACACAGCATTACAAATGCTGAAACTGCAGGAGTCAAAAGCTTAATCTTGTGAAAGAAAACTAGGAATTGTGTGAAAGAGGTTATCATATGCAATTAATTCATATTGATTGCATATGAACTTTGCATATGTTATGTGCATTAGAAAGACGTATTTTGAGTTAAACTCCACATTATCTTGAAAGGTAACAAGAATGTAGCCAGAGACCCACCTTGACATCTGTCTTGGCCAAAATCAGGGTGTTTGCCAACTTTCCCTGGCCCCAAAGCCACAGTTACCCACTATTCAATACCCACTGCTTTTAGACTGCACAGGCAGGATAAAGTTCTTGAAAGGTGAAGAACAGAAAAATGTGTAGAGATATCACCTTTATTTACTCCCTCCATCGTGACTGCATATTGCTGCTTTAAGAAAACGGATTTCCCTAGAAATACTGAAATTTTCAAATGGATGTGATAAAGAGAATTTTTACATGCGTCTTTGGTACCTATGTGTCCCCAAATTATTTAGGAACTTGTGAAGAAAAAAATTAAAATAGGGCAAGGACTGTGAGAATAGGGAAAAGAAAGAAAAAGAAAAGTAAAAGAAAATTACAGAGAAAGAAAAGTAAGAAAGGGAAGGAAGAAAAGCAGGAAGATAGAAAAAGAAAGGGGGGGGGGAGGGAGCGAGGAAGAAGGAAATACAGAAAAATCAGCATTAAAGGATTCCTGTGCTCTACCAGGGCAGAATGAAAGTATCACCCAAAAGTTATCCCATCCATCTGACCTCTGACCAAACTGGAGGAGGACTCAGTCTTAGTTGGCCTGTTGTGACTTGGAATTGTACACTTTCCTAGAAAACCACCTTTCCGGAAGCTTTTCTTCTATTTTCTTACTCTTGAAGGAAAGAGAAAAATTAGGGTTATCTTCTGAACAAAAATGATTTCATGTGTAAGATCTGGCAGATCTTCCCACATCCCATAAATTACTTCCTGATGTTTATAAAGAGTGATGGTTCCTGGGGAAACAGATGCCGCTGCCATGGACCACAGAGAAACATGTAAGGGACTTTTAATTTGTTTTGTCTCTGTTTTGGTAAGAGTAAACACTGGGCTGGTAAGTAGACACATGAAAGAAATGTCCTCTTTACCCCTACCCAATCTTTACTCCTGACCTTGTTATTACTCACCCCTAACACCATCCCCCAGCTCTCTCCCCCCTCCCTGTTCCCCTCTGCTCCCCCCTCCACTCCCTCCTGTCCTTTCTGCTCCTCCCTCTCCTCTTTTTCTCCCTTCCCTTCTTTCTTCCGACATTTATTGGGTGTATGTGTACATTCTTTGTCAGGGAACATAAATGTCACAATTTGAATAGCACTCACATTGAGTATATCATTTTGATTTCTCAGGGCATTTGGAGTGCTTTTAAGATTTCTCTCTTGTGACTCAAGAGTCAGAAGGAAAAATTGGTTAATGAAGAAAGTGAGCGGTGGGTGGGGGGGAGAAATGTGGCTCCCATTGCAAAGCAAGGCCTCAGGCAGCTGTGCACTCCCCTCTCAGGGGCTCCTCCATGGGTAGCACTGGGCTTTCGTGGCTATAGATTAGAAAACATTGACATGGTGTCATTTCATTAGCCTGTGGAAAATAAAACTCTGCTTTCTAGTGTCATGGATCTCAGAGAGAACCACAGGAAAGGAAAAGTCCTTCACCTTGAAATACATCAGCCTCCTTTGGGGTTGGTTGAGAGAATGATTACAAATGGGTCTGTGGCACACACTTCCTGTGAGTAAGGAGAGAGGCCCCCCTCGGTTCAGCTGAATCCACTTCCATTAAAACTCTGGGAGGCCTCCTGACTGAGTTGAGGCTTGAAAATGCTTTGAGAATGACATTGGTTGCACTGTTACTAAGAAGGCCGTTTGTCCCAAGATGGCCAATGGCAGTCCCAAATTAATCTTTATTTTAAGTTAATTTGGGATGCTGAGGCAGGCAAGATGCTTGAGGCCAGGAGTTCGAGACCAGCCTGGGCAATATAGCCAGATCTTATCTCTACAAAACAAACAAAAAACAAACAAACAAATTAGCCAGGCATGGTGGTACACCCCTGTAATCCCAGCTACTGAGATAGGAGGATTGCCTGAACCCAGGAGGTTGACACTGCTATGAGCCATGAGAGTGCCTTTGCACTCTTACCTGGGTGACAGATTGAGACCCTGACTCAAAAATTTTAAAAAGAAAAAAAAAAAAATGAGCCCTGAAAGCAGAACAGAGACTCTATGGTCTAATTATATCCATTCTTTTAGAAGGGTGGCTGGGATATATTCCTTTATCCATTTCCTGAAGATGATGCCATTATGCCTTTCACTCTTCCTTCCCTCCTCCTTCCTTCACCTCCCAAGAATTTGTCAGCAACGAATGGCATACAGTAGGGGAGATGAAAGGAAGAGGACCACTCTAGTTGATGACGTCTTTTGGCAAACTTGCTTGGCCAAACTGCAGGGGCTGAGAGGGACAGTCCAGAGACCCCTCCTAAGATGATTGAGTCAGCCGGCAGAGTGTTTGTTTGATTTCCTCTGATCTGCCATTGACATTGGAGAAAATATGACTGTCCCTCCCCTGACTTCACTGCACTTCTAGCTCTTGACTTTGCTGCTGAAGCCTCAACCTTTCCCAAACACCATTTCCACCCTTCACCCTTCTCCCCAGGGCCCTCTAGGAATGCAGAGAGGCCATCCTTTGATGCTGCTCCTTGCCAGGGCAGAGGAAGAGGAATGAATGGAATGTGGCTATTGTTCTTTGAAAACATTTTCTAAATTGGGGTACATAAACTTCCAGTTTCTGGAAGGAATCCTTGATTAAACTAGGAAAGAGAGGGTTTTTCACAGTTGAAGTTAAACCAGCAGTCCATCCATACTGTGAGGAGTGGTGTTCACCGAGCTCTCCAGTTCAGTGTTTTGCAGCCTCACTTAAACTTGTTCAAATAAGAGAATCTCCCTTCATGGGACTCTGGTCACCTAGATCTTTGAAGAACAAGAAGAATACAGCTGAGTGAGGGATCTGGCTTTTTCACCCATCCTGTGTTTTTACTCAAGTCCTGGGAGATCTGAGAAATGACTCTTAGGAGATCTTTATCTGTGATGCCAGAGGGGGCACCAGGAAGAAAAGGCTGTATCCATGAGGGGGCGGTGCCAACCCATTCTCCAGGCTGCTTGGTAGAGGCTCTCACACTCTGTATTCCTGGCTAGGAGGATCACTCCTTTCTCGTGGGTATGAACTTGGTGACCTGGCTTTCCTCTCTCCTACCTCTCTCAGGGATTTGCCATAGCTCAGGTGACCTCTCAGCACCTCTGTTCCCCACTCCTTCAATTGGGGCTTAATTGCAATGACCATGACCTCCTGACTTTGTGGGGAGGTGGAGGCAGGGAGCAGGAGCTCACCTGGATTAAGGTGGGTGATATGTGCAACCAAGAGTCCACATTTTCCCAAACAGTGGTCCTGTGTCACTGTGAACCGGGGGCATTATTGTCTTTGCCCTTATCGCACTGTAACTACTTCAACACAGGCATAATCAACACTTTTGTTATCCCTTTCAGTTCAATATATTTCTTCTACCAGTTCAGAAGTAGCCTTGAAGAGGGAAATATTCAGTTGAGCACTTTATTTGTCATCTAGTGATGACAAATTACTGGCTTTAAAAAAAATCAATTTGATTTGTCTTTCAAGACTGCCAACACTTTGATTTTAAAAAGGTATGCATCCTGCCGGGCTCGGTGGCTCAGCCTGTAATCCCGCGCCTTTGGGAGGCTGAGGTGAGTGGATTGCCTGAGCCCGCGGGTTCGAGACCCGCCTGGGCAGCGAGACCTCATCTCTACAATAAATCAAAAAATCAGCCGGGCGTGGTAGTGCTTGCCTGTAGTTCTGGCTACTTGGAAGGCTGAGGCGGAAGGATCCCGGTGGCCGGGAGCGGCCACCGCACTCCAGTCTGGGCTACAGAGTGAGATTCCAACTCAAAAAAAAAAGGTATACATTCCCACTAAAATAGTATTTTCTCTTTTTTGTTTATCCTTGCTGTTTTCATCTATTTCTTTTTGGTGCCTGCCCATACTACACATTCGTCCTATTCATTCATTCATTCATTCTCTCAATAGATACGAATGAAAGATTTGCTGTTCCAAGTGCCAAAGGTAGAACAGAGAGCAGAACGCCAAGCTCTGCCCTTCTGAAGCATAGAGGCTTGCAAACAGTGGCCGTGTGCCCTTCCTTGCCTTTTGTACTTTCTCACATAAGTGTCCTCCGTGCTTGGTCCACAGGAAAGCAGGTCTCATCCTGTCTCAACTTGGAGACCTCAGCAGCTGGTGCAACGGACTCCTTCAGGAACCCAAGATCAGCCTGCGGCGTGGCTCCCTCAAGTACCTGGGCTGCCGCTACAGCGAGATCAAGCCCTACGGACTTGACTGGGCAGAGCTTAGCAGGGATCTCCGGAAGACATGTGAGGAGCAGACTCTGAGCATTCCCTACAACGACTACGGAGACAGCAAGGACATCTAGCACCACAAGGCCAGGAGCTACTGCCAAGAGAAAGCCAGAAAGGGGAGGCAGACCGCTGGGTCGGTGTGTGGCTTTTTAATATTTTTTAATGGAACATTAAAACCTCTGCAGCAACATTTAAACAGGGAGAAGGAGAACCTTGCTCCCTGCAGAACTTCCTCAGTGTGACGTTCTCCATCTGCATGATCATAACCCGGCCAGCCAGTGGCTTCATGCAATGCCATATTTCTTCACAGGATTACTTTAGAGTTTGTTTTGCTATTCATTTGTTTTATTCACTTCCCACCCCACAAGGAGTCCACCAAAATGCTCAAGAGCTCCATCATGCTTCCTGTGAAAGGTCTATCCGGTTGAGGCACACTGTGCTCCCTGAGTTCCTAAATCCTTGGGGATAGAGATGAGGCTGGAAGGTTGTTTGAGCAACCTAGGGCCTCACCCTCAGGCATTCCTTGGTAGGTATCTCTGGGAGCCTAAGCCCTACTCACAGGGAAAGGCAATTAGAAAACTGGGGGAGGTGGCCCCTGTCTGTGCCCCCTGGTTTTTCTCCACACCTCATAGGTGAACCCAGTTTCTGTTATAGGCTCCAAAGGGCCACCTGGGTTTTTAGGTCTTCCCCCATTGTAAGCCAGGATGGGATTAAATCTCCCTCTGGTGGATCTCTCCCCTCTCCTCTGCTCAACATGGTCTTTGAGAGCAACAAGATGGACCTTGTCAAAATGCACCTTTGAGAAGTCTACCTGGGAGACTAATTATCAGTTCCCATTCTAGAGAAGAAATGGAATTTATTGTTTTCCTTTTAAATTTCTGTTTCTACTTTGGATACGTTTCTGCAGACCACCCATATGTATCCATGTGCCTGGATTCACTTTAGCCCGCACCTCTTACCCTGGACAGGATAGATGTCTAATCTGTTCCAGGAGAAATGGTCACCCCATGTCAGTGTTACAGATAACTAAAGCTATTATTGATCATAAAAAAGTTTCTGTCCACCTCCGCTTCCTTGCTAAATTTGCGTGTGTTGCTAGTTTTGCAAACTCTTTCTCTGATGACCTTCAGCAGAAGGGTGCCACCATTGTCACTGCCTCTCCAGTTGCTGGGAGTAGCTGCAGTTCTCTATAGGTGAGCACAGTGGGCACAGTCATGGACTGTGGGTTGTTTCCATTCCCTGCCGGAGTATTGGCATGGGCACCAATGGTGGCCTGCCTAGCGGGAAGCCCAGTCTTTCAGAAAGAGCACGGCAGGGCCATGTTGACCAGCGATGGCCTTAGCTGTCCCTAACTGTACCACTGAACACACACTTTCAGTCACCATGCCTTCAACTGGAGTTCCTCATTTAGAAATGCATGAGAAAGATCAGGAAGGAGGAGCAGGACCTAGAAGGCCACTGAGCTATACTGATTGCTTTCTAAATAGCAATAATGACATAGCATTTATTGAGTTCTTGATGTATGCTGGGCCCTGCTCTCAGCACTTTACATATCACTGAATTCTTACAACAACCCCCTGAGGAAAGTGCTGTTCTTATCTCCATTTTAGTGTTGAGGAAACCAAAGCAAAGAGATCGCATGCCCAAATCCCTCACCTACTGTGTGCCTAAGCTACAATATAATTCAGGCTGCTGGACTGCAGAGCACAGGATCTCAGAAGCCCTGGGATCCATGGTTCTGCTGTCAGGGTTGTCTGTGGCACACTGCTATCAGCACTCAGCTCCACAGGGGATCTGCCCAGAGAGCTCGACCTTTCCCAAGCACCCGTGGCATAGATGTGCCCACTGGGCAGTGGAAGGAGGAGGGGCCTTTGGAGCTAGCTACTTGAGACTCCCAGCTCTGCAGCAACACCCCTATGACTGGGAAGGAAACTTGTGACAAGGTTAAAAGCACAGGGTGGTCTTGCTGCCCTCTTTGCTTCTTTCTGGAGAAAGATGGAAAGATAGATTTCATATCCTCTAATGCACCTGCCTCTGAGATCCCCTCATTTTCAGAGCAAAGGCTAGCAGAAGACCCGGCTGTCCCACCCATAGTCCGTGCAGGGGGCCTTGGTTAAAGTGCCTTCCGGGGGCAAGGTTTCTGCCATTGCCAGAGAAGAAGGTGCCTCAGCTGATTAGGCAGGGCCTGTCACATCTTCCTGCTGCTCCTTTTTGCCAACTTTTTATTCAAGTCTCTGCAGAAGATGGTGTCTTGAGTTCGAGTGGAAGGAGAGTGGGGCAGCAGATGCCTGCCTGCCCCAGAGGTGGGTGAGGTCTGAGCTGAGCACGAGAGAGAGTGAGGGGTGACATCAAGGTCACTCCTCCGCTCCCCCCCTTCTGTTTTTATTTTTGGCACACGATCTTCCTCTCTTCAACTCTCTTCCTCTCATTTTTTCCATTTATTCCAAGTCCCTACCCCTCCTTTTTATCCCCTTTATCTTTGTCTTTTTGTTTTCCTTCCTGTGACCCTCCTTCTTTGCCCCCTTTTCTCCCATGACTCTCATCCTCTCTCAGTTTCTTCTGTGTTCTCACTGCATGTGTGTATGCACACGTGCACACACATTCACTCACACACACTATACACACAACTGCTACGACTGGCAACATTTACTTTCAAGTTTAAAGGCAAGTACAAAGGGGTAGGGGATAATCTTAGGATCGCTATACAATTAACTGGAGGATTTTTTCCACCGAGAAGATACTGTCAACTATAATCTGTTGACATTTCCTAAAGCCTGCCTGGAGGAGCCGTTCTGGGACTGGGCCAGTATTCAATCTTAAGTTTCTGAACTGCCAAACAGGTCTTAAGGGAGGTCTCCCAGCTCCCAGCTCCCGTGTCCCTGAAATCTCTGAGGCCTCCTCTTGAATGTATGTGAACCACTATAGTGGCAATAGACCTTTAACGGAGTGTGCAACGGTTTTCCATGGAGTTTGGTCCATTCATTATTTTTATTTGTTAACTACACTTCTCAATATTAAAATGTTCTATTAAAAAACTGAGTGTGGGGGAGAAAAACTTTACTATGGTAGAAGGAAGAAATAATATAATGTGACCATCTTCAGGTATAACAGTGTTGTTTAAAAGAAAATTATTGTATGATTATAAAAACATGAAATAATCAACTAAATAATAAACAAATCTGTTAGTAAGTGTTGGGTGTGTGGATGTTATCTTGGATCTTTCAATAATCTGAGTGATCTGGTTAGCCCCACCAGGGAATTGTTAAGGTTTTAAATATTACAAATCTCAAATATATAGGCAGTGGAGCCACCACTCTAGCTAGAAAAAAAGTCAAGTGATAAACTCATTGTTATGTAGTAGTGAGTCCCGTCTTCTCTCAACCACCTTCTCCAAATAATTAGCTAATGAAATGTATTAATTGGGTATCTGCTGTATCCTTGACACTATGAATGATGCAGAGGATACAAGCTTGTTCTCTGTCATGGAGGGTGGCATTATATTAGGGAAAGAAAGATGTTTAACTTACCATTACAGGGGTGAGGAGAACTATAACGAAGGCATATAGAATGCCATGGGAGTTGCTGAAATTTATACATTGGTCATCCAAGAGAAAAGTTACAAAAGTCCTCCCTGACACATTCCTATTTGTGGCAGGCTGGCTGTTATGAAAATACTTCATGGTGGGTAGCCCAAAACACTTCATCTCTTTATTTCTTTCTACATTGTGACTATAAATAGATGTTATCTCAGCTGCCACCAAAATATGTGATTTCCTTTAAATTCTTCAATAATCAGATGTTAAATGCCTAAACTTAAGAGGTCTTCTTGAAAAGTAACAGCGGCAATTAAAAGAAGATGATGACAATAATGGTTTTAAGCCATGGCTATAAATTCTTGGACACCCCTCCCATCTAGGGTGTGTGCAACTGCCTCTCCCTCTTGAATCTGGGCAGGTTTATAACTGTTTGAGCAAAAGATTATGATGGAAATGACACTATGTAACTTCAATGTCTAAGTCATAAAAGGTTTTGGATTATCTGCCTTCTTCTCTGGAATGCTTGCTCTAGGCATTCTCTTCCACCACAAGATCACCGTGCTGAAGCCACCGTGCTGGAGAGGTCACACGGTACCACTCTGATGCACAGTCCCAGCGGAGATAACTCCACACCAGATATGTGAGTGAGGCTGTCAAGGCCCCCAAAACTTGTCCTCTGCCAGTTGCTTCCTACCAAGCAACCTCCACCATTGCCACATGGAAGAGAAGGATCACTCAGCCAAGACTCTGAATTTTTGACCTCCAAAGCTATGCAACATAATAAAATGGTTATTGTTTTAAGCCACTAAGGGAGTATGCTAAATAAAGGGACTCTGATTGGAAGCCAACAGTGCCCATTCCATCCACTCAGTGACAGAGCATCCGAGTAAGCCCTGCCCTGGGTGGAAATTCACCGTGGGAAGGAGACAGAAGCATCTGTAGACTGGGCTACAGGTGTAATGTCCCCCTCACCAATGAAGGGAGTCTTGGTTTCCACAAAGTCAAGTAAAAAGAAGGGTGGGCGCTGCATCCTAATATTTCCAATGTGTGACCCTTAGGGCCCAGATGGAAAGCAAGGGAGAGGGAAGTAATTGTACCAGGGCCAGGAAAAGAAAGACAGAGAAGACAGCAGACAATCTGGGACAAGGAAGAAAAACACTGGAAGAGAATGATGTCTTCCAAACTTTGTTTTTCTGTCCCTTTGCATTCAGAGCTTCTTAAAGGTGAGTGTGCACACCCCACACTGACTGTGTGCCATGCACTGTGCTAAACACTTTAACTGCATAATATCCCTCAATCTTCATTGCAACTCTAAAGTGAACACTCTTAAGAAAGAGGAAGCAGAGTCTCAGAACCTTTATATAACTCGGCCAAGTCCACGGCTAAAAAGGCATTTCGACCAAGGGCTGTCTGACTCCAACCCTTACACCATACTGCTTCCACCATTAAAGGGTTTGTTTCTCATTTAGCTTCCTAAACTATAAAGACTCCTCCACTGAGATTTTTGCAAATCACAGCCCAGCTACCCCATGCCAGGCAACAAGAGAGAGCAAATTGGCCAGTGCAAACCTACCACCACCACCATTAAGAAATCAACTTGGGGTGCATGTCTTGTCTTCATAAGCTGAGTACATTGTCTCTTCTTACTAGTTTGGCTTGATTTTTGCTTTTTATCTGTCACATGAGTGTCATTCAGAGCCAAGAAACTGTGACTCTCGCACTATATGCTCAGCATTGCCCTTAATGCACTTTAGTGGCTCTTTTTTGGCCTAATCTCTATTTTCTGCATGTATCCATGGTAACCCTCAATGCTTGGGTGAGAACTTGAGGGGAACAAATGCCTACTACCCTGAGGACAGCATGACTTGATACACTGACCCAGGATCCAGCCCTGATTTTGATGACCTAGTGCCTCTTAACCCTGCTCTCACCACTGGCTCATTTTATTGTCATTTCAAATGAACCGATTAATGAGCAATTTAGTTTCAAATGAAACTCAATATTATATGGAAAAAGCTTACAATTTATCTTGGTATATGTGGAGTCGAGGACTTGGCTTATGCTTGCACTATGCCAAAATGAGAAAAAAATAATAAACTTCTTTGTTCTGGGACTTTGCAGTGTTTGCGTAATTGAATTGATTCCACTAAAGATGGACAGACCTTGACATCATATTTCTTCACCAAAACTGCCTTTTATTAGAGTTTATGATATGCCTGCCCACATGGGAGTACAAATTAGTGTAATTGATTCCTTACTATCCCCTCTCAGTAGGAGAACTTCAGCCATATTGTGTGCTTAATAAATAGCAGCAAGTTCCTTTGTTTCCAATAATTCAAATTCAAGTGACCCTGAGGCAATTGCTGTCCAGTGAGTCAGTCAGTGTTCTCTGACCTACCAACATAGAAATGAAACCACCCCATTCCATGTCCTTGTGGTATTGCAGGACTTAGTTGTTCACAGATAAAACTAAGGGTAGACATGCCTTAGAGCCATTTTGTCTTAATGACCACCAAACACTCCTCATCAACCACTGACTCTTGGTCCTCAGATCCATTCCCTAATCTTCTGCTGCTCTGCCTCACTTAGAGCTGATTCTTACAAACTACTTTTCCCAGGCTCCTTTGTCAGCAGGTGTTCAGCCTGGTGGAGCAAAAGTGGGAGCCTTCTCATACACGAGACACAACACCCTTTACCTTCCCCAGTCTTGCTACTGCATCCAGGTCTTTCACACAGAGGTAGTCCCCTGCTGGGGAGAGGGCATGACTGTGGTGTTGGGCTTATGCCCTTTCAAGGCTCCTAGTGATCTGTGTTTATTGGCTTGCACAGAAAAGGAACTCTGAAACTCCTCCCATCTTTGATCTCACTGATTTTTGACCTGCACTAACGTAAGAGTCAAGGTATCACCATCATCCCCACCCTCTAGCCTGGCCATAGTCTCAGACCATCCCAGCTTCTGGGACAGCTATGCATTTATAGAACAGACACATTCTACTGCCTATTTGGATCTGTTATGTTGATACCATGTTAACTTCTGACCGAGCAGGTCAGCCTAATGCACTTCCAAGCAGTTTCACTCTTGGGTGTCAGGCAGGGGAAGATGTTTTGGACCCCACCCTTAGCTTCCATAGCCCTTGGCAACCAGGAAGGGATCGGAAGAGGCCACATGGAGGTGTTGGTGATGGAGCTGACTGGAGCGGGGGAAGGACCAGGGAGCATAAAGAAAGGGTATCTGGTTACCACAGCAAGCCGGCAAACACTCCAAGGAGAGAGGGTGTGGCCCAGGACTTAATGAAGTGCCACTGGGTTTGAGCAGCAACTGGAATGTCTGAGTATAACTGTGTTCCTTCCCGCAGAGCCTGAGGCCAGGCCACGAGCAGGGACAACCTGTACCTCTCAGAATGCTCAAGATGAAGACAGGCATGGAAAAGACAAGCAAGCCTCCCAGGTGTGGGTTTTCATATCCCAGCCACAGAATGGGGGCCTCCCAGAAGAAATTTGGAAAACTCCTCAAAGAGCCAAGAGACGTGATCTACAAATTATTTTTTTCCCTCCAAAACTCTGAGATTGACATTCTTCAGGGTGTGAGGAGGCACTTTGGAAGTTCTTCCCTGCAAAAATTGACTCCTGCTTTTCCTTTGCTCCCTATCCTTCTCTAAGGCAGTATTCTCACTATGGGTTTGGGTCTGGAATCTCAGTGCTCTCACAGTCTGAGCAAACAGAAGATGTGTGTTGGCAACAGGAGTGTGGATGGCAGTGGGCTGAAGAGGCATGTCTGGGAAGAAGCTGAGACTGGGAAAGACAAGGCCATGAGTACGAGGAAGGGCTGGAACTGGCATGAGCAGGGAATGAATGTAGAGAGTACAAGAAAGCCCGAGGTCAAAGCAGGGTCATGTGTCAGAAGCCCAGTGGGTAGATGAAGCAAGCATCCACTAGCCAGGAGAGTCATGGAAAACCTGATAAGATTGCAGCAATGAGGTCAACTCCTGGCCCAGCTACCTATGGGGAAGGAGGTCTGGAGCTTCCCCGGGAGCCCAGAAAACAGACATTGCCGAAATCTGAACTTGTCTTCGCCTCCAGATCTTGCTACCTAATGTTCCCTCTCCAGGCAAAACTCTTTCTGTCCTACTTCATTTTACCCCAAGTCTTAACTAACTTAGAGGAAACTCTTGTCTGAGGGGTAGCGTGAACAGAAACTAGAAACAAGTGGTAAGGTTTTAAGTATGTATGAAATGCTAACAGCATGATTGAGGGCACTTCATTGAAAAAGAAGGAAGGAAATTGATTTATTGATACATATTTATTGACTAACATTTATTGATAAGTATTTATTGAGCCCAAGATATACTATGGAAAAGAAACTCACATGGAGCCCTTAAGTTCCAGGTGCTTTCAAGAATTACGAAAGTATCCCTCTGAATGTGCATAACAATTCAGGAAATTTAAACTCACCCATCTCTTTACAAATGGGCCCTAAGAGATGCAGGCATTTGCTCAAGGTCTCCCTGGGCTGGGGTTCCAAAGTAGGCCTTGATGTTGAAGTCTGTGCTCTTTGGGTGGACACACATGAAGACATATGCTCAAAGATCCCTTGAGCGAATCAAGACCCAAAATACACAGATGACTTGGTACCTCCAGGGACTTCACATATGC